ACTTGAGCCCAGGAGTTGGAGGTTGCTGTGAGCATGATGCTATGGCACTCTACCCAGGGGGATAGCTTGAGGCTCCGTCTCAAAAAAAAAAAAAAGAAAAAAGAAAGTAAAAGATTAAAGATTTGTTAAGCATTTAATAATTAATACATTATGTTATTTTTCAGAAAAGAGAGAGTAAAGACACATAAGGACCAAATGTAATATCCTTGACTGGTTCTTGCTTTTGAAATAAGAAGCTTAGAAGATCTTCTTAGGATAAGTGAGGTAAATTAAATAGGGGTGGGATGGACATCTGATGTTCTCATGAAATTGTTATTTTTCTTAGGTGTAATAATGGTGCTGTGATTCTATAGGAAAATATCTATTCTTAGGATACGAATGCTGTGGTATTTAGGGGTGAAGTGTTGTAATGTCCATAACTTACAAATCAGTGTGGATGAGTATGTATGTGTCCGTGCATGCCCTGGTGCCCACATATGTGTAGAAAGAGTGAAGGAAAGAAAGCTATTAACAATTGTCAAATCTAGGTATAGGGCATAGAGGTGTTCATCTTACTATTTTGCAATTTTTTTGTATCTTTAAACATTTTCATAATATGACAAAAGTTATAAACAAAAATATAGTAACATTTTAAAAGTCTAACCACTCTACCTCCCAGAAATACTATTAACACGCTGAATCCTTTTATCGTTCCCCCCCCCACCATCCATAAGAAAAGAATATCCCTTTAAAATAACATCAGATCAAATATATTGGTATCTGTTTCATCATTGAAGTAATTTAACAAATGTTCATTTATAAGCCCAGTACAAAAGTGGTGATGCTCTCTTTGAGTTTTTCCTATATGCACCATGAGGCTTCAATGTGCCTCATTTTTCATCAACTATAGTTTTAAATACATGAAAAAACGACTTTTAGCAACTGTGCTGTAATTTAGGGGCATCCCCATCATGAAATGTCATTCAGTCAAATTTAATAAAGCTGTTGTTGGCATTTTAATTTTTGCTGTTCATTCGAGAAATATTTGCTGTCAACACTGTGCAATACAGGTGCTGTGGCTACAGAAGTGTGCAAGACACCAACTCTGTGCCCCTTAGAGGGTCATTGTAGCCCATAATCTTAATTGTATTACCGCCCTGATCCAAAGGGCTTCCTGGAAGTGATATTTAAACTGAAGACATGGAGGATGAAATGGAGTTAGTCACACTTAACTCTGGAAAGGAATATGGTCAATGACCTTAGGCAAGTTGCTTAACCTCTCTGTGCCTCAGAGATAACGTAAGACTTGAATAACGGACATAGAGCTTACTTAGATCCACGTCTAGCACAGTAACAGCTAGATTTATTGATACCACTTACACTTGTTGGTATTTAAAAAGAGCCACACTGTGCTAGGGCTAATGCAGGGGTCACAGGGAGAAACGAGACATTCCAGTATCTGCCCTACGTTATCCACCACCCTCAACTTTTTTTGGTACTAAAATCCACACCTCTCTTCCAAATATAAACTATAGAGAATGTTAGCTTCCTTAAAATATTTATACTCTTTGTTCTTCCTTATTTTCGCCACCTCCACCTGAACTGAGGTATTTCTCTGAAGCTCCTTTCTGTTATTTAGGAGGCTATAAAGGCTAGGAGCGCAGAACTCAGACAACAAAGTGATAGAAACTCAGCCGTAAGTCAGATCGAATCCCCTGGAATCCTCGCCGGCTAATCGCACCCGCCAATACGGCCAGCTCTGATTGGCTCAGCCTCCAGGTGGCCGGCATCCCTGCATCCAATCGGTGTGGTGCTTATTGAGAGGCGGCAGCAACTGGCGTACACAGGAGGCTTGAGCATCTTGTGGATAGAGTGGGCGGTCAGGCCATGAACTTGGGGTAAGGTGGCGCGAGGGAGGTGGTCGTAGTGGAGAGGAGGATAGGCCCCTTAGAGTTGTTCGAATGGAACCTTCTGTGCCTTCGCCGATCCCAGCGGCTGAGCTAAGTTCCCCGAGGTAGAGGCGAAGGGAAGGGGCGGCCCATAGCAACGCCGCAGACCTCATTTTTCACTTCGCATTAAATTTGTCTGTGAACTCCTTTACGTCCTCTTACCTCGGGATCGGGCGAGAAGAGAGGCGTGGAAGAAAGGAGAGAAATGGCGAGGGCAGATAGAGAAAGCTTAGCGGCTTTCGGGGAGGAATCCTGGCCCAGGCTACTGGCTCTTCACCACCCTGTCTTGGTAGCCTTGCAGAATGTTGGAGCGCCGAGATGAACCCAGGTTTCTCAAGGAATCTGTGTGTTACCAGTGCCTAACACCGAATAGCACTTATTAAGTAGTGGTTGAATGAATTAAAAAGTACTGTTGCGTGGTCTTCATCACTCTCAAGTTTGTTAGTTTAAGAAGACGAAAAGCCCCCAGACTTACACTGCACGGCGTTCAGTAAATGTTGTTTTAGAATCTGGGGGTATAGTAGGAAAGAAGATAGTGTGGCCTTCATAGAGTTTACAGCACAGTGCGAAACAGAGATACTTTGCAATTTCATTCAAGATCTTTTTTTCTTCCAGTAAGGTTCACCTGAGTGAAACGACCAGTTCATAACCCTGCAATAGGGAAACCCTTAAAAAACTCTATTCTATTGTTTTAGCTTTGTGACTGAGGAACTGAAATTTGATATCCCCCACGTAAGCAAAATTAGAGATTTCGCTTTCTTTATCAAATCGTTTTCCGTCCTCTCTCCCTTAACTGCATGCTGGATTTAATTTGGGCTTTTGTCCCCGTTGAATGTGTAATGTGTATTGACATGCCCCTTTCCCCCCTTTTTATTTCCTCCTTATAATACAGTGAATTACTGTATGGACTGTCATTTTTGTTTTCTGCAAAGTTTTTATTTAGGCCTTTTAACAGATGTTCAAGCTTTGTTAGAAACGTCTACTGGTGCTTTATGCCCTTGCTTTTGGCATGCACATATGAAGCATCATAGAAACTGAAGTTTTTGTAGATTTGTAGCTGTAGCAGAAGTGTCACTGAATGTGAGTATGTATTATTTAAAACATTTAATATTTGAAACTCTTTGCTCAAGCATTTAATAAGCTTGGTGGCATTATTATAGTCATTTGCAGATGCTCCAGCCTGCTATAGACTTACTAGGCATGAATTCTTTATGAAACCAATAAGTGGAGGTTAGATTGGTCTTGCTCCTGTAACTTAGCTGAAGGGTTTTTGTAACAGAATTATTTTTTTCAGTCTAGAGTTAAATGATAGTATATTAACTGGATTAATTTATTGTTTACCAAGAACAAATATAAGGTTTCATATTACATTCTTTTTTTATTAAAAAGTTTCGAGGAGAATTTTCTTCCTGTAGGTCTTAATTTTATCTTGATTTGAAAATTCTTTTCGTTTAAAAGACTAGTTTGGTAAGTACAAGAGTCCTGTGTAAATTCAAAGGAACAGATTTCCTTTCAAGGCTCAAATGAACATTTCTGGCAATTTAAAATGTTGCTGTTAGTTAAAAATGACATACAACATGGAACTCTTTTCTTTTTTTTTAATATTGCAGAGATGGTTTAAAGCTTGAAACTGAATTACTGGATGGAAAAACCAAGCTAATATTGTCTCCATATGGTATGCTGTGTTACTAGAAATCTAAAAAGTTAACTTAAAATTCATATGTAAAATTTATATTAGTTTAATCGACCTTTTGTTTGAAATAGAGTGATATTTAAGTAATACTTTGAAAAACATTGTTTCCTTAAACTTACTTTTAGCCAAAGAAAATCAGATTAACCATTGCTTACTACTATCTGTTTCATACCATTTGATGTTTCAGTGTATTTTGTGTGGAATGTATCTGTTCATTATATTTGCATATAGCAAATATCCTTATTGTCTGATGACTAATACAGGTTAAGTTTAGTCATTATGTTCTGTGAAAGGATGTATTTGAGAAAATTTATAGTAAGAGACCAGTGAAATGCTATTAGTTATCAGTATTAGTTTTAGAACTCATTATACTTTGGTAGTTTTCTTCACATTATTTTTTTTTTCCTTATCTCTTTGTAGTTTTACCTTGGAAAGAAATAGACATAAATACTGGAACCACACTGTAAAAGTCAAAACACTCAGGCAGGATCTAAAGTTAATGCTTTTAGGCTCAGCGCCTGTGGCTCAAGCGGCTAAGGGGCCAGCCACATACACCTAAGGTGGCGGGTTCGAATCCAGCCTGGGCCCGCCAAACAACAATAATGGCTGCAACCAAAAAATAGCCGGGCATTGTGGCAGGCGCCTGTGGTCCCAGCTACTTGGGAGGCTGAGGCAGGAGACTTGCTTGAGCCCAGGAGTTGGAGGTTGCTGTGAGCAATGAAGCCATGGCACTCTACCCAGGGGGACAGCTTGAGGCTCTGTCTCAAAATAGATAAATAAATAAAGTTAATGCTTTTAGGGATAATATTGCTATCTTAACATCTTAAAACAATACTAATTAAAATTTTCTTTCATGAATGCCTTAGTATGTTTTCGGTTGATAGTTTAGTAATTTCTTCTTTCTTTTGTAGAACATAAATCAAAAATTTCTGTGAAGGTAAGCCAACTGACTTTGACCTGACCTGTTTTTAAATGTAAAATGCTCTTTACAATGGTTAGAAAGTAATTCTGGGAAATGTCATTCTAAGGGGTTTGGAATGATGGTAAGAAGTTATTGTTTCCTTGCTTTCAGGCTGGTCCTTTCACAGAAATGGAATTATAATTTTCAGTTTAAAAAGCCATATAGAACTCTTTCCTCTGGATCAGTGCTGTCCAGTAAAGCTTTTTGGGTTGATGGAGGTATTTTAAAATCAATACTGCCCAATATTTGGAGCACATAAAATGTGGCTGATGTGACTGAAGAACTGAATTTCTAATTTCATTTAATGTTCAATTTACATTTAATAGCTGCTGGACAGTGCCACTCCAGAGATCTTTAAAAGTAGATTAATAGCTTAAAGCAAAAATATTTTTTTCTTTTCATATTCAAATTCCATTTGCCCACACCAAAAGGTAAGTTTGATTCACAAATTCTAATGTGCATTTAGCTCTCTACTTTAAAAGATGGCACTTGAACTGAATGGTACTTTTTATTTTAAATTAGTTTTTCTTTGTCAGGAATACATTGTGTCTTTTTCTACAAAATAACATTACTATAAAAAAATTTTTTTGATACTACTTAGTTTTTAGAATAATATTAGCAGGAATTTCTCCTTTCCTCTTCTATAACTTTCTGTAACCCCTTTTTCTTTTTATCATTGCAGTATCTTAAAGTCTTTGTGGATAGAACCCAGTTTGGATGATGTAGCACTTTACTCTTAAACTCTGAGCCCTTGGTACTTTATTATTTCTCCCTGGTTTAATCAAGGTAGAGAAGTTGCTTGAGTACCCAGAATATTACTCAATAAATGGGTGGTGCTGATTGGAGTAATTCCACAAGTTACTTACAGAAATTATTTCTTTGTATATACATAGTTTATAGTTATAAACCTTATGTGCTCCCTTATTCAGAGACTACAGATTGTATATATTTTCTTAGCCTTTTCCTATTAAAATATTACAACTAAGTGCTGTTATTTGAGTCACATTAATGAATATAGTGCCCTTTTTCAAAAAGCCCTTGATTGAAAAAAAACTACTTATAATGGTTGGTTTCTATCTTCTGCAGGCCTCTGTTCTCTTGCACATGTTCCCTCTTCCTATTGCTATCCTTAATGGATTTGCTGTAGCAGCCACGTTTGTGAAGACATTTCACTGTCTTTTTAACCAACACAGAACATCTGGAAATCCCGTTATAGGTCTATAATAAACATTGCATTACAGAATTCTATCAACTGTCCAGGGATACTTTATCCTAGGATTTTTTTCTCCTAGAGGAACTAACATGTAGCTGATGTTAGTCTTAAATTGGGTTCATCTCTGTTGCATTCGGGACTCCAAAATACTGGTGCAACCTAAGTCTCCCTTCTATATTAATTGTTTTCAAGGAACTTCTCTTCCTTTATTTATAGGGATTGCAAACATCCTCCTCATTCCTTTTTTGCTCTTCACAGAAGATAAAACACCAAATCAGTAGTACTTTTTTGTTTTAGTCATTATTAAAAATCTCCCAAATCCCAGGGTTCTGCAGTTATATATTGACTTCTCTTTAATGTAAGTTAATTATGAATTCTCTCTATGTAATGCCTTTCTTTTTTCCTTCTCCTGGGGTAAGTTTCTGAGTGACTGCAACACCTACAGTTTTGTTTTTTCTCCATTTTCCACTGGTTGAATTACTGTCATCTCCACAGTGTGTTCTTTAAATGTAGCTAAACTATATCATATCTTTGTTAGGTTTAACGTGTGTGGTCAGAGTGTTTCTTTTCCTAAGTGTATTAAAATCTCCTGCATTTTTCTTTAATTTGCTGTAATGATGTAAAAATGATTATCAGTCTAATTTCTTAGGCTTATAGGACAAAAATACAAATGAATCAGTATTATAAGTAATTTATAAAAATAATGGATTCTAAAACTCATACTTAAAATAGTCTCAAAAATTTGTTGAAATTTAAAACATTAAAAGTTTTTCATGAGTATTTCTACACATGAGAACCAATGACATAGTGAAGGATGTGTGTAATATTAGTGGTGGGTAGCATATTTTATATTTTAAAATGTTACTTTTCTTTGATGCCTTCTGGCCTTGAGATCCTGGCCATATAAATTGTAAAGTCAGCCATTATTAAACAAATGCATTGAACATTGTCTCTACAATACTATGGAAAATACTGGTAAAGTTAATACTAGGTAAAAGAACAACATGGAAGGTGTAGGATGGGCAGACACTAAGCAAAATGAATAAATACAGAATGTTGCAAGATACAAAGTGCTATGGAGAAAAGTGAAGGAGAAAGGGAGAGAAGAAGCACTGTTACCTTAGAAGCATGGCATTCTTGGGAATGGGGAGTGCTAGGGTGCTGGGAGTGAGGATAGAGTAGGAAATTTTAAATAAGGTGGTTAAGGAAGGCTTCACAGGTAACATTGAAGCAAAGATTTGAAGCAGGCGTCCTCAAACTAAGGCCTGCAGGCCACATGCAGCCTGCCTAGGATATTTATCTGGCCTGCTGGGTACTTTTGCTGCTGCTGCCTGTCCTGCTTAGCAGCCAACTCGTCCCAGGGCCTGCAGTCCGGCTCTCCAACGGTCTGAGGGACAGTGAACTGGCCCCCTGTTAAGATTGAGGATCCCTGATTTTAAGGATGCGAGAGGAAAAGCCATGCTGAATGTGAAGGCAGAATGTATCAGATGGGGGGATTGTCGAGTTCAAGGAACAACCAGGAAACGTATGTGGCTGAAGGCTGAGAGATAGAAAATAATGTCAGATGTGAGAGAGAGCATGGGGGCAAAGATGGTAGGGGGTGCCCACAGATCATGAGGGCTCCTAGATCATAGAGAAGTCCAACTGATCTTTAAAGTCAGATGGGACATCACTAAGGGCTTTGGAAGAGAGTGACATGATCTGCCATATATTAAGGTTACCACAGTGGCTTCTGTGTCGAGAATAGACTGAGGAGCAATGGTAGAAGCAAGGAGGCCAGTTAGAAGGCTTTGCATTAATTCAGACAAGAGCTAAATAATGTCTTGGAGTATTTAGGGATGGTAAGATTCAGGATGTGTTTTGAAGAGGGAGCAAAATAATATTTGATGATAAATGTGATATAATGATACAGAAGTCAAGGATAATTCCAGAATTTCTGGCATAGGTAACTGAAATGGAAAAGACTAGAAGGGCAGGAAGCTATTTAGCAGCAAGAGGGAGATCAGGAGTTCAGTTTTGGACATACTAAATTTGAAATGTCTATGAGGAACCCAGTGGAAATGTAGAATAGTCAAATGAAACCTGAAGTTAGGGGAAAAGAACACCAGGACACAGAAGTTTGGGAGTCGTCAACATAGATGATATTTAGAGCCACAAGAGTAAATGAAATTAGCAAGCAAATGTGGGAACTTAGAAATGAGATTCTGGGACTAATTCCTGGGTACTCCAACCTTAAGAGGTCTGGGAGAAGATGAAGAGCCAGGGAAGTTCAGAAGGAGCAGTGCCTTGAGTTGGAGACCAGCCTGAGAAAGAGCAAAACCCCATTTCTACTAAAAATATATATAAAAAAAAA